AAAAAAAAAAAAAAAAAAAAAAAAAAAAAAGATTAAAGCTTGGATCTGAGACTATAATTCTGTGTCTTCTGATTGTCCTTAGTCACCACTTGTCTTCTTCCTCAAGATAATCCACTTAAAAAAAGAAAGCTCGACATTTACTTCTATATTCACCTAATTTCCGAAAAATTTTCAGGAGTATATCTCAGATGTGTTGCGAGCAATACTAGAGCAAACTTAGCCTTGTATTTGGAGACCCAGTCTTGATTAGAAGGGTATTTAGCAATTGTGCTTATTTAGTCTTACTTCTAGAATAAGCCTGGCTTGAGTAAGAAAGGAATTAATGTGTTTAATGATGTTAGGCTACCATTAAATAAAATGTTATTGAGCATTAATATATAGACAAGATACTGGACTCAGTAGACTTCAACAAGAAGGTACACCTGTAAGAATTCAGGATCCCCTAATGATCTCTGATGGCTTCCAGACCAACCACTTATATTTTCTCCCATGTAGTCAACCTGAGTGTAATTAATTACAACTTCATATTTCTTTATTTTTTCCTTATTTCTTACAAGAAATCCAACTTATTACCACTGTTGAATCCCCTCCTTCACTATCCTAGTGCCCAGTGTACCATTCTATCTCTTGAAGAACAAGAAATAGCTAGGTCCCCCAGCCCCACCACATGGTCAACACTCTCAGCTTCCTTCCCTCTCAGCCCGGTGGAGAAGAAGGGCTACTATATTTTAAATTGTTACTCTCTCCCATTCTTCCAATTTCCATTACCACCCCTCCCCCTGCACTTCCCCTAATAGATTTTCCCTGGTTCCCCCAAATCAGACTCCAGTTAAATTATATTAAGATGTGTCCAACCTTCTGTGGAAGGTTTGCATTTGTATATTGGGATTCTGATTAACATACATGAATGAATATGAAATGAGGTGAGGGTCCACGTGACTAGAGCAGAAGTTAGAGAAAACTCCGCATACCATTGCTTCAAATTATGTCCTCTAGAGCACCGAAACATCATGTAAGTGATTATTAAAAATACCACTGTCCCGAATGCATCCTGGGGGAATAAAAAAGCATCAGTAGTTTTGAAAAATCTTATAAGTCATTCCAAAACACAGGAAATTTGAGAAAGAGAGCAGTGCTTCTCAAACTTCAGTGCACAAGTGTATCACCTGGAGATCCTTTAGCATAGAGAGAGACCCTGATTCAATAAATCTCTAGCAGGATCCTGGGAGAAGCTACTGCTGCCTGTTTATATACTGCTATTTGAACATTAATCTCTAGCTGACCTGATCCTCTGTTTATATTTAAGCAGCTTTGGGGACTGTATTCTAGAGAGCTGCTACTTAAAGTACTTCACAGATAGATAGTGCAGTGTTATCCTGGGAATTTTTAGAAACACAACGCTTTGAGCTTCCTTCCAGAAAAAATTTCATGGGATGGAGGCCATGAATCTATTTCTGCAAACTATCCAGATGATTCTTATGCCAACAAAGTCCGAGGAACATTACCATGGGCAAACATGTCCTTCATTTATGGCAGCACATTCCATTCATATTGGGAGACTTTTATTTAACACTGCCTTCAGGGTCCCACCTGCAGGGATTCTGGTTCCATTGGCTGGGGCTGAGGACCAGAAAACTTTTCCTTCTTCTTTTCCATCTGACCTCTTTCTTCCAGAGAGCCCCTCAGGGGATTAAAACATGAGCATTGCACTGAAAGCTAGATTAGAGAATCAACTGTATGCCCTATATTAGAAACAGTGTCATCTTTTCCAGAAGTAATATTTCACCCACAGGAAAAAATACAAGAACTCATATCTTCAGATTCCTCCTTATCAACATGACATATGTGTGCCTCATGCCAAGGAGTGTTGTAGGAAAAAGTGCTAGGCTTTGATTAATTTCCCTACGATTGATCATCCATCAGATTGCAGAAATCTCAAATGAGATAGAAATGTTGGGGAATGTTTCATGGGATCAGTTTTATTTATTATTTTTAAATTTAAGTGTTTAGAAATTAGTATCAAGAGCTCTTAATTGCTGATAAAACAGCATGCCAGACCTTCCTGGGCTGGAATTGATATGCACCTCTCAAATGCTCTTACTCCTTTTTTTTACCCCAGTATTATGCTTGAAGGTCTTTTATGAGATCTTCTGCCTTATGCTTCTTATTTGTTTGGGGATTTCTCTTTTACACTTATGGTAAGTTCTAGGAAGAAGAACTAGGTCTGTTTTCTGTAAGACTAATACTCCATGAAGTGCCTTGCCAATGCTCTGAACATAGAAGTACTATAAAATATTCATTAACTTAATTGTTATATTTTTTTAACAAATATTCATTACCCTTCCCTCTACACATAGCATAGTTCTTGGCAGTAATACAGCAAGGCTAGTGTACTTGCAATTACTAATTTCTAGATGATTTATATTTCCCTTTGAAATTATACCTTCTATCACTCTCATCACATAAAACAAATTTTTGTGTGAGACAATAGTGGTGCTTTGCAATTTATAGTTCAAGATTCTTGTGCATACATGTATTATTTAGGAAGCTGTATACCTATCCATCTCTATATTTATCTAATCCCTATTTTGTTACCAAAATAAATTAAAGCCTTTTGTATTACTTTATAAAATTTAGTAAGGTGACATGGGAATGGTTTATCAATAATTAAAAATGAAATTATGGACAGAGATAAAACCAATTAGGAAAGCTTTTGATGCATAAAATGAATTTAATAGTACCCTAATTACTAATTACAAGTTTCTAATTCAGTATGATTATTCCAATAATAATGTTTATGACCACAGTGATTATTCTATACTAGATTTTTATTAAGTTTTTAAACATACTTTACTTAATCATTAATTCAGCTCTATGATTACATTCCTTTTCCACATAAACTGGGATTCAGAAAACATAACCAAACTTAGATGATACTAGTTACAAATTGTAGAAGTTCAAACTAGGCTTATCTATCTCTAAAAAAATGCAACAAAGATTAATATTTCAATTCATTTTTGTCAGTTTGTTAGTCAACATACGGGAGGACTAAAAGATATTTTGATCATTGTGTAGCTGCCTGTACTCTGAGTGAAAATGACCCATCCACCTAACCAACTTCATCACCAAAAATACACTGCTTCTCCCTCCCGTAGACTAGACTGCAGAGGGGCTACAGTGCAATGTAGAGGACTTTAGGTTTGCAGAAGTCTTTGCCCTCAATCCTGTCTTATCAACAGTCTAACTGGTTTCATGAAGAACAAAAGATATTCTCAAAGTCAAACTAAGTCTGAGTTTAAATTTCTGGTATATTTTTTAAAAGCATAATTATTCTTGCTTTCTGGAAGTATTTCTTTTAAGGAATGCATCTATCCAAATTTTGCTAGTCGGTCTTCAGCGGATGCATGAGTTAAGATCGCATTTGTAATGGAAGGCTGAGAGACAGGGTGCAGGAGGGAGAGAGAATAACGTAATACTTGGTATTAAGTTAAAGCTTGTCCTTCAACTGGGCAATAGTTCCATTCTTCAGCAATATTTCTTCAAGGATTCTTTGAAAAGAGTTATTCCTAACACTAATATAGAAACCATCAACATTTTAAAAATATTTTAACAGGTAAGAATTTTTATATCTTTGAAAATAACACATTTAAAAACTTGATTTTATTCTATGCATAAATATTTCCTGGGCTCTTGCATCCCAGCCGGAGTTATGTCAGACGCTTGGGGTAGGATCACGTGAAGAAATGACAGCCCTACTCCCCTGGGTCACCATGACGCCTGTGGAGGTGGGAGTTCACAGCTCCAAGTTGCTCTAGCTTAATCCTGACTGTAAGGTGTCATCTTCCAGTGATCCTCGCATGTGATAGAATCAGGGAGTATCCAAATGTACAGAATTCGCTCTGAGACAGAACATTCTGGATGGCCCCTGCCGTAGCAGCCCTCTTCACCCATACTCCTCGTGCCCAGGAATGTGGTGCTTTTGGTCAGAGATCACAATGCGGATATATGGATTTCTTGATAAACACACACTTTACTTTTTACAGTAGAAAACTTGTAAAGAATATACACAGAGCACTGAGACCACTTGAAACATCATTCAGTATCCATGGTCACACATCTTTCAAACAGGTCCACTTGCCTGAGGCTTCCCTAGACTTTCCCGAGAATAGAATTCAAATGTTTTATATACTCTAAAAATATTTTCAACTTCTTGTAGCCTACAATTCTGATTATATTGCC